TTCGCGTTCAAACAAATTTAACTAACACTAGCTGTACACGTTTCAGCTGAGATGCGTGAATCACATTAAGTTCCTTGGTTACGTTGCTAGGAATAGTTCAAGTAGGTATCCCAGAGCCATTAATCATACAATAAAGAATTAATATCTTCATGCGGGATTTACGCAATAAGCACTTTCTTAACAGTGAATTCAATAAAAGTTTACATGTTAGTAAGACTCCGTGTTTAAATAACATTATGCGATGTTTGTTATAGCATTTAAGTGGATATATTACATAAAGGTGCTTGAAAATATAAGTAACATCACGTTTCATTGTTAACTTGGGTATCAAGCGGAACAATATTCTGTCCCTTCTTCAAACTAGAAATTGCTGTGTTTCGGATCGGACTGAACTAACTCTTGGCCAGCTTCAGCAATATTTTACAACCCGGCGACACACAGTCTCGTTGTCGTTGTTATGCTAAACGTGTCAATGGGAATGAATACGTCTTCGTTGTGGGAGAGGCGATGCCTAAAACGACCACTTGCCAAAACGGGCCCATATTTTGCTGGCGGAAACGACCCTAAATTGGTAGAAATGGTGCCACTTTAAATTTGCGAAAAAAAACGTCCCCATTATGCATACAGTATAGTCACTGTGTCCGACGGAAATTGGGTGAACAGAAATAGTTCCTTTGAAATAGTTTTTATTAATTCATTTTTTCACAACGACAAGTTGGGTGCATGGTCCATTCTTAATGTAGTTCGTATAGTTTGATTACTGAATCAGAATATATTTTCTAAAGCGGCGTTTAGGAACAAAACCTACAAAATATACATCAGGGCGTAAATAACACGCCACATTTAAACGAGCAGCCCCTTAATACCAAACTTAAACCATTTTTTGTCGAACAAACCATCTTTGACAACAAATGATACTGATAACGATCCATTACATAAAAAAATGTAGCACATGATCCACATATCAACCCCCCCAAAACAACCTAGAATACAGTTTGATACCGTCCAGTGAAAACTCACCCAATTCACGAAACGACTTAATTTTATTGATACACATTCTTGGTCACTGTGACAAACAATTCTTTGCACTGTGTATACAGCTTTTAAACACAAAACACGTTGTGAATATTCAATACAAACCAGTTCGTCACACATAACAAAGAAAGGCGCAAAAGGTTATACACTCTGTTGAAGATCAGTCACTCGTGAATGGAATATATAACTCGTGAACATGATAAACATTAGATCCATGTGTTAAGATGATACTGCCAACACACATATATGTCACTTATACCAGGGATAATCTACAACGTTATATAGTCTCCCTGCTAATACCAACTCGATATAAAATTACTTACTTTAAGACTCAAACGACAATGAGTTCACAAAATAGACGAGGATCTTCTTAAGTGAGTTCAAAATGACATCAATAGCATTTACGTGCATAGACATGATGTAGTTACCTGTTCACTGTGACAATTAGAAGCGGTATATATCCAGCGCAGGTGCTGTTGATCCTGCGGTTCTGCCTGGCTGTGGCTAAATACTTCTGTCCCTATACGATGCTGCCGAGATCCGCGTACTGTCTGTAAATTCCTCCTGTATTAGGCGCGGTACGCGAATGCGACTTCCCCGATAAGCGAGAAACTCATGACATCAGCTATTTAATCTTAAACAGACACTACGAAATACATTCAGAGTAACGTGTTGTTAAAATACATGTACATATTTGAAGTTACTTACATGAAATAACAACCCTGAAGATGCAAGAACTCTAAGCACACACAGACACAGTTCACATGCATGTTAGGCCTTAAGATTGTTTACAAGTTACATATTTATTTAAGTGTGAGTATGGATTCGTATAAGTGTGCCAGATAAAAGTACCAGGTATATCCTGAAAGCTTGACTGTGTCAGTTCGTATGCATCAATACAAAGAACAGACGTTCTATTTTCTTAATAAGTTTTAGCAAAGAATGAAAAACTTTGTATATATGGCCATAAATTTACTGTGTGTGAACTGGTACTGTATAAGCATAAACCTGTTAGCATTAGTAAAATTATCACCCGTTTACACGCCCTTATTATTAAAGGCCAGGGTCGACCTTTCACGAAGCAACCTTTACTAAGGTTAACCTTAACTCCCATTCTTTAACATTGCACTAAGGTTACCTTAGTGACTTACGATTATCTTAGTACTTTGTGAAAGGAGTCCCAGGTCAACGGTTTTGAAACTTCACTTTATTTCTGACTATCTCGCTCTCCTTTGAATGAGGAACAGACGCCTCTCATATCATTTCTGGGCTGGTCCAAACCGTGGGGCTGTCTCATGAGAAACAGATGTTTTTAAACATGGGTTGGTTGTAGAGCAACATGTTAACAAAATACAGTCAAATTAAACAGGTTTCTGTCCTCAAACAATAACAATAACCATTTATTACACTACATATATATTAAATTCCAAATCTCTGTTACTCTTTACCTATTTCATATTATTTTCCTTTTTTATCTTAGTTGTGCGTGCGACGCTAAATAAAGCAAATAACTAACTAAGGGTTGAGAACAAACGATGGTCTTCAGAGAATAGAATACGTGAAGTCACAGAAGGGTACTCCTCGGGTATTCCTCCGAGGCCACACATACACCAAGAACAGAGTCAGGGGGGAGTTTGTTCACTGGCGGTGTGGAAGACGAAGAGGGTCTACAAGGAAACTGAGAACAGGCTGATGCGTCAGCAAGAGAGACTGCGTGCAGGAGGGGTGACAAACATGGAGTTCCTCGATGCAGTTGGGCATTTGCTCAGACATGGTTGACATGTTTGCCTGTATAGTGAAAGATGTGAAATCTTAAATCTTGAATGATTTGATTGACCATTTAAATTATCTTGTTAAATTAACTTATTTTTTTTAATGCCAAATAAAGTCATTACAAAGTCATCCATAGATCATTTATAATTATCTTGAAATAACTTATTTGGTTTTATGTCAAATAAAGTCATTGTTATTATCCACAATCTCTTCTCTTTGTGTTTGGATTAGTACATTTGGACTAGTCCATTAATTAACGAAGGTAACAGTGTAGTGAACCTCAGTGCAACCAACCATAACCTTTGTTGTTTTAACGTGTCTAACTTTTGGGACGTCTAACTTTTGGGAGGACACCGGTGAGTTAATAGGATTGCTCTTGAGGCAGAACATCATCAGTGGTAAATGAGTTTGGGGTTGTCATGTCGAGGGTGTTTCGTGTGAACGTGACGTCTATTATAGGAGCTTGTGGGTAAGAGCAAATATTTCTAATTTCCAGAAGGTATCTCAGATACATAAGTATATGATCCCATATTTATCCGTTTATAGGACCAAACGATCGTACGAAAAGCGAATAAGCATACATATTATTATATTTGCATTATCTCTTGCCATCATTGGCAGTTATCTGATTAGCAATAAAATTAAATATATGGTCACATTTATAAATATGCATGTATCTGTATTTAAAAAACTGTGCCCATATATACCGGGCTGTAGAATACGAATACGTTGCTGTTAAACTGTACCTATATGAAAGATGTATATATTTGTTGCTGTCCCTTCTCTCTTTTGATTACTTTCTAACACAAGTTATTTGTTATCTCAACATTAACAGTTATGCTGGTGGTATTTTAACATGTCTCGTTTGTATTCTAGTACTTGAGCAGATTATTACATTACTTGTTGATAGATCTGTATCATTTATGGTATTCATTGCATTTACTACCTGAACCCATGCATGTGGGTTCTGATATTCTGAAAAGACAAACCATTAAATATATTCTGATGGTCGGGGTCTATCTTTTGAGACGTTTACTGAGAGACAAAATAGTACATTTTCTTTTCTTTGAAAGGAAGGAAGGGGATGTTTTGGGGAGGACCCACAACTCATTTTACTTCAGCACATCCTGTAAACATCCTCTATCCTGATATTTTTCAAACCCGAGTCAAACTGATTTCTTTACACTATGGTCATACTTTCAATTGGACAACTATTGTATTATAGCTGTTTCATCCTTCCATAATTTTGCAAGAACTTAACAATGGCATGAACAAGAATCAAACAGGACTGAACCTTTTAAATCATCCAACTCCTGGTGTTATCCACATCCCTCTTGCTTGGGTCAAGTGATAAGAATTTTGAGAAGTAACTGTGCATGTCTGTAGGTATCTCTTTACATGTAGCTTTTCATGTGTCACATGTTGAACGTTTAGTGATTGTGTATGTTTTGTTGCTTTTAGTCATATTCCAGCAACATCATGGCAAGAGACACCCAAAATTGGCTTCACACATTGTACTCATGTGTAGAATAGAACTTGCATCTTCTGTATGATGAGCATAACTGATATTTCAGGGATAACTGATATTTCAGGAATCTGAGTACAAGTCTAGCATGACAACTACTTCACTTGCATATTAATACTCAAATAATTGTAGAGTTATTTATCTTGTTCAGTTTTAAAATTCACTGATTTGCTATCTGACCATTCTTGAAGGTTGTTTGCTGAAATATTTTGGCTGTGTGATAATGATTCCCTGATAACATCTTTTAAGAAATGAATTAGTTCTTCAAATATATACAAACAGTTAATTGTGCTGTGGTATGTTCATATTTTGTGATTTTTATGAAAACACTTTACAACAGTTTTCAAAGGTCACATTTGATGTTACATTTTGCTGAACAATGTGGATGTTGCAGGGTTTGCATTCATGCAGTTCCTTTTTTAAAAGGAGCATATCCTGTACCCTCCAGGTAGTCTCAGCTTATCTAATATGTATTATTCAATGAATTGAAAAGAATATCTTTCACTGAAAGCTATTTGTACTGTTATATATGCAGAAATTCTGCAAAATCTGTCCCTGAAGTAATAGAAATATTAAGGAATAACAATTTGTATACTGACTTGCAAACTGACTAGGTATTAATTTACACACCCATCCAAGACATCCAATGAAGAAACAGACAAACTTATTTTTATCTACATTTTTATCATCTACATACAGGATACATTCTTTCTTTTTCCACGGGATGTGATATATGACATCTTGCCAAACTATTCTTTTTTCACACATTTTGTTTCATCAAGGTTGACAGTCTAACATTCACATATGACACAACCCAAAATGTCGAAATGGTTTTACCAGTCAATGCTAATCCCCAGCAGGTAATCCACTAGCTTGGATGTATTTGCCTGAAAGGGAGAGAGCCAAACTGGGCTTTATACAAGGAAGGGGACAAGCATTTTCTCTTCTCACAGATCAGTGTAGGTTTGCCAGACGAACTTGGAAAACTTGCAGTATGTGTTTTTGCTGTGTTTTCCATCCAAATACAACAACCAAAGGCTATCTTTGCTCAAAATATTTTTCTTCATTTTTTTCAACATATTTTTAAGTTTTCTTTACTTGATGCATGTTTCTTTGAAACTTCAAGCAAAACCTGAATATGGTGTCTTGCTAAAAGAAATATATGCAACTGATTTAATTGTCACATTCTAACCACATGATTCATTTTAGTTAATGAATATATGAAAGTGAAGCAAAGGAAGCCATTTACATTTATCAATATAAGTAAGAGAGTGTAAGCGACTGAATGAGCAGGTGTTTGACATAGCATCAGCAGTTTGGCAATGTCAAGTATGCACAGCAATTAACGTAAGATGGGCATAATCCATGTTACTTTTCAAGTATACACTAGGATAAAGCCTGCCATTGAAGCTATATAAAGTAACGATATATCAGTCTTAATTTACAACATGTAACTTTCTTTAAATAACACTGCTTGTTTGATTCATTTGAATCAAAGTTTCAAAGGATTTATGAGTAAGTGAGTGATTGAGTATAGTTTTATGTTGTTTTGGGAAAATTTCACCCATTGCACCCAATATTCCAGTAGTATCACAGAGGGAACATCAGAAAACAGCTTTGCACATTGTGCTCTTGTAGAGAATGAACCCTGGCCTTCAATACAACTAAGGAACTAGGTTAAACCACTGCTCCATAATGAATGTGAAACAACAGCTTCTTCCATGGTAGGCAAATATTTCTCAGTTGAGTGAAGGGTATGAGAGTATTGTGAGCACATTTGCGATACAATTATTGTTTGTCTTCAGACTGTCAGCAGCTTATTCTTCAGTGTCAGTGAACTCTTTGGTGTATTGGGATCTCAGGTTGCTCAGATACAGCCTTAAACTTTCATCATCAAGTCGAGAATTCTTTGCTACCTGAACCAACTTAGTTGCTAGTTTGAAATTCATTCGCTGTTTCCTAGATTCTGAATCTCCTGTCCTGTTTTTCTGAAAAGGACATAAAAACTGATGAATTAGTTGGACAAACTGAAGGAAACTAACTAATTATCTAAGACTGAAATTACCAAAATTGAAAGGATTCATATTGAAATGCCAGGACTATATTACCAGTAACCCCAAAAGGTCAGATCATGTACAGACAGTATGATGTAAATTCCTACACCAAATTACCCTCTGCTGTTCCTCGAGTTGTTTGGCCAGTGTTTTTGCTTCGTCTATCACTGTTCTTGGCATTGTGGACACCTCTGCAAGCTGAAGCCCTAAAGGGAAACATCATGTAACAGTTTACCTAAACTTCATCCATGCAAGCTGTTAGGGCAGGGTCATAAGTGAGTCAAAATCCAAAGCAGACACAGTAAATATGAACGAAACATGAATGTTGAAGAATTATAAAAGTGTCATGTGTCACTGAACAATCATGAATTATAAAACAACATAAGTCACATCTATTGTGACGATAATAAAAACAGGTATTAATCACAGATTTGACAAATATGTCTACATATTTTTTTCAAACACTCAACTCTGTTTGTGTCTGCTAGCATGATCATAGATATTTGAATGCAAAGACGGTTTCATAAATGTAAAACATCAACAAGTATTTTCCTACAAGTATTCAGTCAACTGAAGATATATATTGAAAAATTACTAGACTTTGGTAGAAAAACTACTTTCAAATTAAGATGTGACTGTACATCGACACAGGGAAATATATTTGTTGCAAAATCAGCATCAGGAACAATGATTATTTCAAGCACTGCAAAAAGCAATAGTTGGCTGTGTTGCGATCTCAGAGACAAGAATAGAAGCCTTGTCACATACCTCAGACATGCAGAGGTTGGCGGATACTCCTCAGACAATTCTCAAGTTGGACTGAGATTTGCAGCATGTCAAACATAATCAAGATATGCCAAGAGTTTTAGCTGGATATTTCTTAACAGTTATGTCAACATGTTAATAATAGAACCTTTGTCTGCACTTTAGCAATAAGATCTGAGTATTGTCTTACTATCTAAGATAATACCTCAGCTGTAGAGAATTGGTACAAACCTAACACGAGTATAATACCTAAAAATCATAATTCTTTTGAAGAAATAATGTATGAAGAGTGCTAACCTTTGACAGCAGATTACCATGGCCAGTTACTATCCCTGCTACCGAAATACAATGGGCAATGTGCATATGAATGTTCATTGTCTTCTTGTTTCTGGTTGATTGTGTATATTATTTTAGCAGTTTATCAGTGAAAGAAGCTGACCTCAATGAATCTATTTCCCCTACTTCAGATTACTTTCCAGCCAATTTTAGCATGTACTGTTGACTTTAGTCCACTGAACAAAAAAGGAAAACTCATCAAAATGAAAACACCAAGGCTGGAATGAAAGAAGATCAACTAAAGAACTTGGAGAAAGAATTCTTCATTAAGATATGTGACTTCAAATATAAATTTTGAAGCCAACTTAACAAAACTGACACCTTCTATTCATACTGCATACCAACATAACATCACATAGAGTGCTGTGAGTGTTTGGGATTTCTTTCAATTAATAATTAATTGGACTGCTGAATAGTTCAGTTTCTAAGTAAATTCACAAACTGAACAAAACCAGTATAAACAGATATTCATGAAAAAAGGCAATGACATGCAAACTAAGACAGCTTGATTAATATAAGCAAAGATAAGTCAAAAGACCTTTGGAAATATTTGGGGTAGTCATCACATCAAGTTTTAAATGAACTTGGTGAATTCAGTTCTAGTAACTAAGAGTTAATTTCATTTGAGGTACTCATCTAGTTATACAGTCTGTCCACTAAGAACATTTCTTATTGCATTGGTGCAGTTGCCACTGAACAGTTATGTAAAAGTCAATTCGACCAAAAGAACATACCATAATGTTTCTCCTGTGTTTTCCCTCTTGACAGCACATGGGTGTAGTTTATCTTCTCACAGTTACCCTCTGTGCTGAACACACGCTGAACCTCGAAGAAATAGCTGTAAGTAGGAACAGTTACAATAGATGATAAATATAGCCATCAATTTGCAACCTTTTGGTCCACACATGGCAACATTAATTCCACTTCAATGTAGACAACAACTCAGAAGTCTTGGTTTGCACATGCACTGTTGCAAATGATTACCAGATTGCTTCTCAAGTGTAAGGTCCTTCGTTTAAAGCAACATAGGCATGCTGAATAATTACTGGTTACTTAAATATGTTAAGCATAAATATTAATTGCTACACAGGGCACTGGCCTCGACTGGAACAGGCACTAGGTCATCAAGTCATCAGTTGACAAATGGTACCAAATTCTTTTTTACACATACACATCATATAATGTACCAAATACTTCAAATACACTAAACGCCAAAAGAAACGTTACCCTCCTACCTTTATGAATTACTGAAAAACTATCAAAGATATGTTAGAAGGTATTAGTTTACAAGAAAGCTTAATAACACAGCTGTATGCAAATCATGAAAACAAATTCTCAAATGCATTCATATTTAGGTGAAATGCATCTTTTTCAGAAGAGTTAAACTGTCCTATATTCATCCATGCCCAAATAAACCAATAACAGTGATTTTGATGTCCAAAAGATAGGTTGAAATAAAATTCTGCTTTGGGACAATGATAAACTATTTAAAATCACCATTTTTTAGCTATTAAAACAAGAAACAATTGTTGCAGAGTGTGTAAAATTGTCAAATAATCATTCCTATGATTTCAGTCTTTTAAAAGATTTTATGCTGATTTGCATTAGTGAAAACAAGTAAAACGAGTCTTTGATATTGTGAAAAAAATTATCTTTGTTAACATTTTTGCTTCCAAAGTAACATTTTTCCATTTTCTTTTACACATAGCAATATAAATCGCCAAAACGCAGCAATGAAGAGAGCCTAGAATACATGATATGATACACAAGTATGAGAAATAAGCCACAATTAACTGCTAAAGAGGAGAAAGCCATTGGGAAGGTGCAGATGAGGTTGACATACAATGTTGTTGCTAACGCCCTCAGCGTAGACAGACCAAGAAGTGGATGTCCACGCATCACAACGCCAGCTGAAGATAGGTACCTCCGTCATTAAGGAAGGAGGGTAACGTTTCTTTTGGCGTTTAGTGTATGTTTACAAAGCCCAACAGTTAAATTATATTACACCTTTCTACCCCTGAATTTATCAATCCCAATGTATGTTACTTTTAATTACATATAGACATTTCTGACAGTAATTGTGTGGAAGGAGAGTTTTTCAAGGTTGGAATGACCAAGACTACTGAATGCTCACTGTATGTCAAATCATAGCGGATTAGACCAAGAACTGGCTGAAAATATAAGACAAGCCTCTTTTATATTCACAATAACTAACTAAACGTTTTTATCCAGTGTTCACTTTTAGCTTGCATATACACAGGAACCTTTCGCATTTTTCATTGAAAATATCAAAGGGTCCATCTCAGCTCTGCCTTCACTGACAGACTCTTTTAGACACTTTCAACCCATGATACTTCTATTCTTGTTCTGTCATTTTGCAAGGATTAGCATAAATCTCTGTTGTCAAATCTTTCCATTTTACATAATCCCTCCATGAAGAGTGTGAAAGTCCATATCTTGCTCTTGCAAACAAGGCTGGAATTTCCTTACAGTTGATGAATTTAACACCCTTTTCGTAACATATTAGATGAGACCTAAGAATACTTTTTTCAAAACACTTTATCTACCGATGTAACCAAGAAACTGTTCAGTAGAAATCCTTGTATCAACTACATGAACATTTTTTTTGTGGGATACTTCTCTGAACACTCAAAAAGAACCATCATATGTTCAATGATCATACCGAATAAAAAAAATTCATTTTCTCAGACCTCAGTTAAACTATGGGCATGCTCACTCTGCACAATAAATACATATTTATTGTTATTGAACTGTTCTGAACAACTCCATCGAAACATCAAAAATGACAACATCAACTGACATTTGATTAAAACAACTCGAAAAGTTTACAAAACATTGTAGTGTTAACATGGCTGATGGAATTTCGTTTTCATCAAAACTGTGCCATGTTGACAGACAGTGACCATTGTGCTGCTGCCATCATGTCAGTCAACATTCCAAACTCTGGACAAACATGGGACCATTCTGTGACAGAACTTGAAATGACCAGTCAGTAAATAGCAAGCATCATCCATGAGACCACAGATTACTTTTTCCTTTGGGTCAATATTTGACAATTTCAAGAGTATTTAGTGAAGTAGTTGTCGCTTACTGTAAGAATCTCATTTCTTCTAGGAAAGACACATGTCGACAAAATATGCAATGTTGCTTTTATTGAAGTTGATAATTTAATGTAAAGTGGGAAAATGACAGGGTTTGTGTGGTTTTATATACTGTAGCTTCACATAGTGGGAGTAGATGAAGGAGCATATATAAGTAAAGGACTGGTCCATGATTATGAGGGGAATTGGTCATAGGCCTATCATATTTTGCAGCACTCTCTCCATTTTGCTACAGATTCTTACATGCCCCTCCGACCAGTGAAGATCCGGGTTAGAATGTTGATCTTCAGTAACCCGTGCTTGTCGTAAGAGGCAAATAACGGGATCAGGTGGTCAGATCGATGCTCATGCTGTTGATCACTGGATTGTCTGGTCCAGACTCGATTATTTACAGACCACCGCCATTATATAGCTGGAATATTGCTGAGTGTGGCGTAAAACTAAACTCACTCACTCACACACATGCCCTCCAATTATATGTAACATTTATATCATGATAATAAAAGATGATTCGAAAAATAATTATCAAATTATCATTTCTTTACCTAATAAAAATTTAACTGTCATTTCTTTCATAAAACTAAAAGCTTACAAATGTATTTAGAAAGGTTTGATTTATACTGTTTTCTTTCTAATTAACATCATCATAATTTCGATCATATGGAGCAAAGTAACTATATGTGTCGTGACTGACAAAAAGGCAATCTTTGCAGTCCTCTCCATGAATATTCTGTATAACACATACTTACAGTCTATCAAATGTCACAATGATACATGCAGAAAAGAAGGAGTAATGGGCAACAATGACTTTCGAATATGAAAAATTGGACCAGAACTTTTTAGCAATTTTTCAGGGACACAATGGCAAGGATCATTCTTACAAAGTTCACAAGCTTTGAAGGTCCAAAGGAGACGCTGAAAATGTAAAAGATGGAAGGATCGACAATGCACAACAAAGTATGCCATAAGCCCACTTGATACTGAAAGTTTTAGTGAGCCAAAATGTGAGTGAGTGAGTTTAGTTTTACGCTGCACTCACCAATATTCCAGCTATATGGCGGCGGTCTGTAAATAATCAAGTCTGGACCAGACAATCCAGTGATCAACAGTATGAGCATCGATCTGCGCAATTGGGAACCGATGACATGTGTCAACCAAGTCAGCAAGCCTGACCACCCGATCCCGTTAGTCGCCTCTTATAACAAGCATGGGTTACTGAAGGCTCATTCTAACCCGGACCTTCACGGGTTCAGCCAAAAAGAAAGAGATTGATAATTGTTCAAAGCAGTTATGTATTTGCCCAACTGATATTTTTTAACTTACTTCTCCACATTTGGATATAGACTATCCATATTGGTCAGCTCCATGAAATGTGTCACAAAGAATGAATACGCCTGAAAAAGAGGAAAATAGTATCAAAGAATACAAATTACTTCCTTACATATATCAGGAGTAGATTCTATTGTCATTGTTATATAGTCATGAATATATATGTAGGGAGGCTGAAAAAAAAAATTATAAAAAAAAATGTTCAAATAATGATAAAACAGCAAGCATGATGTGTCTGAAATTTGGGAATGTTGGTTTCAGTACTGTTTGTCGGTCTGATAAATTGAAGGTGTTAAGCATGCACACACAAAAATATTTTAAGCTAGGTATACTTTCAAATCAACTTGGAAACACACAGAAGAGTTTGGAGACAAAACCCTGAAGGGCATCTTGTCATGTCACATATCTCCTCTTTCCTTCATAAGGCTATATGTGGGGTATTTGCAGAAAAGACGAATCAAAATTCATTGCCATGTATACATGTGTATGAGACACATATTGCAATTTGTACTGGGAACCTCAAAATCTCTTAATATATATTTGTACTATTCAAAGGGCATAAAATCTATCAATATGGCATGTTGTATGTAAACAGCACACACCAAATCAACACAAATGCCTCAAGCTAATAGACATAATTTATAAAATTATGTATTAATTCCTCTGTAATGACTTAACATGCCTATGGCATTATTGATGTAATCAAGACACCATTGTGTAATGCACTCATCCTTGTTGAAATAATGTGTTGGGACATCACCTCCAAGCATTAGAGCACGAATGACAGTTCATTATCGAGTATAAAGGTACAGTTGAGAACAACTGAACCTCAGTGGCACCATTGTATAAAGTTTGTTTGTAGGCATAGATATTTTAGATATATTTGAAACATACATGACCCAAATAACAAACACTCATTGGTCTAGAGCCTTAAGCTGTCAAACAATCTTTGCCAGTGGGATGATAACATTCTCAAAACAGACTTCCAAATAGGAGACATTATTTCTTCACTACAGCTTCTTATAAATTGTTCATCTTCAGTAATAAAAACGTCCTATTCTCCAGTTATTTATACTTGTATGATCTTGAGTGTTTTCACAGATATAAAAACTGGAAAGGTGTGTGTAATTAATTTACTAAACCGTATCAGAATGTTTGTATTTTTAAGAAATCCAACATACTGTCACTTTTTTGTAAATTCAGTATGACAGAAGGACTCATGGAATAATCTCAACAAACTAAACTAGTCAATTACCAGTCACATCCAAATTAGGATCATACTGTTGACAACGATTTCATAACTATATCGTTTTTGTATTTTTATAGTGACCATTTTAACAAGTTTGCCCAAGCTGTGAAAAGTTTACTTAAAAAAAGATTAAATTAAAAATCCTCACACCTCATATTGTTTTTATTTATATTTGAATGGAAATTGAATACATGCAAGATATTTTATTGCGCCATAACACACACCTTGAAATATTTTTACACATTCATATATGAAAATGATTTTTGTATTTGTTCATACATTTAAGTGATACATTAATGAATTTGTTACTCCAACTGATGCGTCATTGCCCACAGGGTGCTCATACATTGAATTATGGAGACATTTATTATTATACATATATCAAAATCAAACACAGGGAAATGTCAGCTGTCACCTTAAATTTCATGAATTCATTGTTAATAGAAATAGATGGTATCTTTCAACTGTCATGTTTAAGAACAGTGAGTGTTTTAAATATTGGATATATTACTGATATATAATATTCTAAGGTAAAATATCATGTGCTCACTAACTCAACCAAAGCCATGCATCTTGCCTGTGTTGAAAGTTTCCTTCGCACAAGTACAAATTTCATACTTTCATCAGTTTGCCTATATTTTGTCATTATTCAGGCAAGTGCTGTTAAAAGTGAGTCATTTTCCCTGCACCCTACTGAATTATTTACATTCCTGTCAACATGACTGTCATAGGAGTGCAAGAAATCTTCTCAAACATGTCATTCATGTGGCCAATATGTCCCATATGCTCCACATTCCCTGTGCTATTAACAGGGACAGGCGAAGACAAAAAAACAATCACCAATTCAAGTCTAAAATTCCCCAAAAGAGGAATTCATTAGACAAAAACACTGAACCCTCTGTTAAACAAAATTATGAATAGGCAGTAAAAAACTTGTTCACACTTTCCGTAATTGTTAAGGGCAGAACATCCTTAATATAATTGTGCCATTGTTTCAAAACTAACCCTCAAACATGTTGAAGTTACTTAAAGATTATCAAAGTCTTATGCTGAAATACATGGATAAGGATTGAATAAGCAGGAATCATCCCTCTTATCTGCTGAAAGTGAGTTGGTCAAGTAGACTCTGTGTCGCTCTGTCAAGTATGCCATGTCACTAAACAGGGTGTGCGAAGATGACCCAAAAGACAACATTCATTCAAAAGATACTATTTAATGTTCACAAATCACTGTGACACCTGGGGCTCGTGGAATAGCAAGAATAGAAACATTTCCATTGAACTGTATATTTGTTAATGTCAAACACTGCTCCCTTTACACATATGTGAAAAAATATGCTGTACAATTGAAAAGAAGCATGTTTCTCTAAGGCAATGTGCACACAACAGAACATGTTACATTTTATAGTTGGGTTGGCATACATTTCCCTTACTGTAGGTACATACATAACAAATTGTAGCAGTACACTGGGTTTCCGTCTTTGTTTAGATAAATACATTATAATAAATACAGTGAATCGTCAAAACTGACTTATTATTCCCATGTTTAAGTCCTCAGTTGTCATTATTTACAAGTGGTATATATGAATTGTAAACCAAAAGTCACTGTGTTCTTAAATCTGATTGGTTGAAAAATATGATAGAATGGTATTTGATTTTCTGAAATTTTGCAAGACTATTCGCTGCATATTAATATTAATGCATACAAATAATTGGTACTTTTTTTGCTTCCACCATTTTCAAGATGCCTTCAACAGCACCTCAACATTTGGACTTTCCAATTTTCAATGTTGGCTAACGCCGTTGGTTCAAAATGAATTCCCGTGCTTCAAATACTCAATAACACCCAGAAATTGGCAATACATGATGTTTATCTCCAGTACATGATGTTTATCTCCCTAATTCCCTGTATAAATGTATGCCCTCTTGTTTAAAATAACTTCAGTGAATTACTTCTTTATAATGGTTTCACATTTTCTAACTATGAACTACATGTACTTAATGTAATAAAAACACAACCCCTTGACAACTTTGGAAGATACAAGATATAGTAGTAACCAATTTCAATGATGACTTTGAACTTATCAGTTATAACCAATATCTCAATAATCTAAGCCAGTCAGATTTATAGGGGAAAAGTATTTTCTTTTCCCAGTGACTCACTGACTTATTCATTCAATTAGCTAAGGTGAGCAGGGTGATTCATAGAGTGTATTTCAACCAATCTAACATACTCATCCGATAGATAAGGAATTAAAATAGGTCCACGATAAAGCACATTCCATGTCTGCTCAGTAATATCAGTGGTGGGAAGAAAGTAAATATTTTGTTTCAGCATTCTCACAAATCCAGAAATAGTGTCATGTCATACAAAGGATGGTCTGACATCAGCTCATACCAAAGACTCATATCAAGTTTAAGTCTTTCATGACCAATAAATGGATGACATGGAAAGATATTGAATTCTAGATTTATAAAGTAAAGTTGCCTTTAACTATCATATTTGAGTGATGTAGGACTGATACAAGCTGCACCTCTAACAGCCATTAACGCTTGAAAGGTGGACCCATTTCACATGCATGCACAACAACATGTAAAGTAAAAGTACAAATCAACCTGTGAAATATGTAGAAAAATCAAAAGCATATTTGTACATTACTGAATTCATAACATTGATTTAAATAGGCACAAAGAGTTTGTTTGGGTTCATTTTTTGTATTCATTGCTTAACTAAGCAATATTCAAACTAACAGCACAATATGGCTCACATACATCTAGTGGTGGTCCGATTAATTGAAATAATCGAAGATTGGTCGCAGTGACTAAACGACCAAGCAATCGATTATGTTTTCTCATAATCGAACACAAACAATTCTGAAAAACTTTTTGCATTAACAATATTTTTCACAAGGCTGGTTTTGTCTGTTATATTTCATAAGCACTACAAGCTGGTTCCAAGTCATGATTGAATTTATCTTAAAGACTCCAAGAAATTAATGTTCCTAACATACTAGTCATCCTTTAAAGACGCGCAAACAAAAATAACCAGGAAAATTTCATAAATGATGCTAACCAATTATTTTCGATGATTGATCGGTTGTAATGAGCCAATCATCAATTATGGGATTTTAACGAATTCCCAACACTACATACATCGAGATGAAAGTATCAGCCATCAGCTAGTTGACAACTGTTTTCTTTCGGCAGCTCTTGATGTTATCAACCTGTTGCTGACATGTTTCTCGGCTCTAAAATCAATGTTTGATACTATGTACATAATTACTCTTAACATCCTGTTTCTTTCTATTTTGTGAAAGTACCCAGGGTATATTGACACATCCAGATTTCACCATACACCATTTAATTAAGAACTGGGTTAAGTAAATATAGGGCCACAGTCTTATACTGATACCTCTGAAGTTGAAAGTTGAAGGTATATGTATCCTAGATTAACTACAAACACCAGCAAAAAAAACATAGGGTACTAATTATCTGAATATATTGAAGTTACATTTTCATTACCATAGAGTTGAATCTGAACACAGCATCTATGAATGTGAAATTTCACATCAAGTGTGAATGGAATGTGTTTCATGTGTAAAGGGAGCACACCTATAGAGGAACTCACAATAACTAATGCACTGAGCTAAGCATATATTTAAAAATGCCTCTGAGACAATACTATGTCAATGAACAGATGAAATGGTCAATTGTGGGTATGATAGAGGAATGTCCCTAATAGCCCAAATGTTAGGCAAATGAAACAGTGTAATTTCTTGACTATGGAACAACAAATGTCTAGTGTTGCAATGAGACCTGGGTGTGCCAGGTCTACAAATATGACACCTTAACATGATCGTCTAATCACAATTTTGCAATATACAACAGTTTCAAATCTGTTCCTGTTATGAATGGAGACTTCTGTACAAGAAGGCGAATGTCAACATCTACTGTTTAATACCATCTCTCAGGGGCAAAGATTAAGGGGAGGGGAGGTGCAGTTCAACACCAAGGATGGGCTGTGATCCAATGGCATAACACCATGTTTACAGACAACTCAAGGTTTTGCCTCCAATTCACAGATGGCAGAAAACATTGTTGGCAACGTACTGGTTAGCGGTTTTTTAACAATGTGTGTCAGATGGTATCACACATGACAGACCAACTGATTTGGCTGTCATAAAGAGACATTTGACTGGTCAGCATATTATGTTGATAAAATTATGCATCCTGTAGTTAGATCATTTGCTATGATTTATATGGGCATAATATTTTCTTGGAACTGCAAGACAACGTTACGCCCGTCCAATGCGTTGGCTTTGATGGATTCTTCTACTGTTGCACACTTGTCTTCCCTGCTATCAAAATGTATTTGACCAAGTCTGTGGAATGGGAAGGTCAGTCCATGACATCAACACCGACGTTATGTAAGAAGTTGTGCATCAGAACTATAGTATGGCGTGTAGCGTCTAGGACCATGTGGCTGCATGAATGGCAGAACTGGAGTGAAAATTGGGTCCTGACATGATACTGTATAGCAGTAAGATTCCCCTGGACGTCAATCCTCAAATCAACCATTGGCACCATATGCTCTCCATTACCATTATGCTGCTCCCTCCAAATCAGTCAATCTGATGTTCCCCTTCCTGTGCCACTACTGCTCTGCCATCGACAAAGTGCAATGTGAGGCGTGACTCATCACTGAAGACAATCCTGTTACACTGACTCTGGTTTAATCCCATTGTAAACGTTGAGCACAATGAAATTGCTTCAGGATAGGTCCTGTGTATGTTCAACTAGCTAAGAACCTGGACGATTTTTGATGGTCTGTGCTGATACTCTACCTCTGAAACCAGCGTGCTTGCAGATGTTGCAGTCCATAAGGTTGGTTAGATACAATCTGGGACTGTTGTTCATTTCATAAACCAATGATTTCCATTACTAACACTTGTTTATTTACCATGACAGCTCAAAATCCTACCTGACCTTTACTGTCCACCAACTTACTTACTGGAGAAAATAGAAAGTGCCATTGAAACACCAGTACATGAATCTCATATCAATATGTATGCAGCAGGCTTTTCGGAGATGATCCATCACATTTCACACATTCATACAATCTAACAGCATAATGGTTAGTAACATACCTTGAACTTGAGCAGATATTCACAAATAGCATGGCAGATTCCAACACCCTCTTCAGCACTGGTGCCTATAAGAAACAAAATCACCAAGGACTCTTTACTTTGGGATTAATCAAACTTTATAGGGATTAATCAAGTAAACTTGGATAAAACGCATGTTGTCCAAAGTTTTTTCATGCAACAATCCATACAGTGTTTGGAATGATTATATCGTTTATCCTACAAGGGAAATACATGTTCAAGTCACCTTTGCAAAGCTCACACATTACATATAATGTTAATACCTTGCAACCTTAAAAATTGGCAAATTTTAACTCAAATTTGTGAAATTTCACTCACATTTAAAGTAGACAGCTGAAGAATATTTATCAAAAAGCAAACAGCCATTTGCAGAAAATCATATACAGGAACAACTGAATGTGTTTATCAATAACCAAAATATTGCTTGCCCATGTTGATGTCCCTAAATGAGCTAACAGGGCATTGTTTTGCGTACAAACAGGGGATCAATAGTTTAAATATTGTTTAATGTCTCACCTCTTCCAAGTTCATCAATGATAATAAGACTGTCATTACAGGCATTCTGACAGATGTAGTTGATCTCCTTCATCTGAAGCAGGCATTTTACACATGCTTCAGTGAGATAGACATGCCCATTATTGCCAGGAGGATGTGTTGTCACATGACATTTATAAACAAAAAATATATGAAACAATTATCTAAAGCCATAAGCCATCATAAAAAAACACATTTACATTTACTTTTATTTGCTTGACAGCTCTATTTATCTCATGATCAGGTAAGAACTGATTAAGAGGCCCTAATAAAGAAATCAGTTCTCTCTCTGACAGACCTTGTCACTGTTAGAAAATATGTAAATGGGTTAAGCATTTATATGGTTGTAAATAACTCACAAACATAAAACCTGACTTACAGAGGGTTTCTTTCATTTTTATACCTAAGTTAATTCGTTGCCCTAAAAATATTAACCATACATTAGAAGTAGTTTCTCTGTCCCTACACACATATCAGCACATACCACCTGTGAAGTAAAATGTAAATGAAAGATTGCAGTGAGAAACTATACCCATGAATATATTGCCATTATTTACTTTCCCTTTTACATCACTGTATGATAAATTTCACAAACATGCAAGACAAGGCTACTTTCCATATCATTCCTCCCATATTTTTATAACATTCGTGCTATGAATATTAACATTGCATTCTGTGTTACATTTCAAATAGCCATACATCGTCTCCTACTTTATTGACCATGTTAACAGTGAAATACAAGTCATTACAAAGCCTTAACATTACTGGTACTTCTATATATTAAAACATAACGGTTTTTATTCCAAACTGGGATTTTTTACTGACATTTGACGCTTAGTTGGAGCTGAATGTTAGCCTCTGTGCAGGTGTAGATAAGTCCCTGTAGTGTAAATTCAATGACAATTAACACTGAATAATAACATCCCATTCAGTGTTGTATTTTTTCAAAGCAATAAATCCTCCTTCACTTTATACTGGTTCCGTTAACAGTAAAATACAAGTCCACAGAACAGAAACTGCTTACAGCCACACCAATTTTATCAAAGTTTGACAAACCTCCAACATAAACGTTGATGAGTTTGTTTCCATGTCATCATCACTGCCGATACGGGAGAAGATCTGACTGGCAATCCGGAAGGATGCATACTGTGCTGGAACAAACGACCCAATCTGTGCCATGATCTGCAGAAGAGCCACTTGACGAATGTAGGTCGACTTTCCACTCTGGAATATGTAACAGCTTCTTCAGCAGCCCATTCATTTTCAGTTTCCATATATAATTAAACATAACTTAAGCGTTTAATTCCAATATGACGTAGCTGATGTGAGAGAGCTTTTGATTGACACATACTGGTAATCTCTTCACAAAGGACACTGAATTTGTTAGCAAGCTACCAGATAGAGGTTATTATACTAACCATGTTTGGGCCTGTGATGATGATAAAGTTGCTGTCTTCAGAAGCATACTGAAAACATAAAACATTTTCAGTACATTTTAGCACATACAAATGTTACACTTACAAAATAAAAACAATTTTACTCTTAGTCTTAGAATACAAAAATGCAAAAGAATATTAATCCATGGACTAAACAAATACTCACAGTATTGTTAGGTACTGGGGCTTCTACTCCAATGTTTTCTAGAATGGGATGACGGCCCTGTTTGATTGCTAATGTGTCTGTAAATTCTGGTCTCACTGCAAAAGATAATACACCATTGACAGCAATATTATACCGGATATGTTTTCTGGGGAAAAGCGGGTTTCATGTACAAGTATGTATTCATAACATTTGTATATAACATTTCATCACCTTGCAAAACTAAGGTCACACATAAGATTGCTTTGCAGTATGCCTTCAATTGCATGATAACTTAAAGTCACATCCATTTGTTTAAGCAATTTTAGCTCAAATTAGAAACAAAATGTAAGAAAAGCACCAACACAAAATTCTAAAGTTAACATTTTTCTCCTCAAGAATGGTGTATTTTCTCTAATATAGATTAAGATTAGAACATAACAGTAATTTTTATTTAACACATGATACAGATTTAGCAGGAAAATCTCAGTAAAATGAATAAATATTTTCAAAAGTAAAAGTTGAAAACATAAATACATCTCCTTTTTACATGTACTAAACAATCAAAAGTATACTGACAGAAAATTGTAAATGAAAAATGCATTCTCAAGGTCATCATTTAATGATTAGAAAATTTCCCATTTTATCATGTTCAAATGCCCAATATCATCAAACATTGTCAGATTTAAAAGGATGTCTTGAAACATATACAATATAACAGACATAGCAAGGTACCTTTAATCCTAAAAAGGTGGGGTGAAATTGGGTTTAACGTCGTGCTTGAGAATATTTCGCTCATATGACGACATGCATGCGTGTGTATGTGTATGTGCGGCAGCTGGTTTTATAGTGCTAGCCCACTGAGATACCATGCCGCGGTGAAGCATGAATACCCCACTCAGACACATTATACTGACTCCCGAGCCGACCAGTCCTTGTTGTACCCATTGATGCCGAGCGCCAGGCAGGGACCAACAAGTACCATATTTTAACGTCTTTAGGTATGACGCGGTCGGGGATCGAACCCGCGACCTTCCGCTCTCCGGGCGGACACTCTAACCAGTACACCACGGAGGCGGTCTAATCCTAAAAAGGATAACAATGGCAACTGATTGTCTTTGAATATCTGCTGATGAGAGCTAAATTAGGTTTACATTGGGTTGAGAGTTCCTAAACAACAACACACCATATGAGGAAAGACTGCAGGCCTTGGCAAATGCAAGCATCATATCCAAGTTTGAAACACATTCCGACAGCTTGTACAAGCAGCCAATATGCTCTCGAATGTCTCTTAGGAGATCAGACACAACACTGGAACAAACGTAAAATTTAACACAGAATATGGTGGGATATATACAGAAATCATGCCAGAACTGATAGATCTACTAATAGTTGATTTAATATGACTCTAATCGAAAACTATGCAAACTCGCCGATATATTTATGATTTAACATTCAAATGAATAATCGATTCTCTGTAATTATGACACAATAAATGAGTTAATTAGATTTTCTTTCAAATATACACTTATATCCTGTAGGAGGCATCATAATTTTAACATTAAATATTTTGAAAACAAACTAAAAACTTAAATAGTGAAGACATACTAGAGCAACTGTAAGATCTAAATAAATATGCAAATACTAGAAACAGATATGCAAAATGTATACTTACATGTTTGTCATGAGATAAATCTCTTGTAGGGATTCTTTGATACGATCTGAAGAGACAATAAATGCATTTACAAAAACAACAACTACTAACTTCAGGTATAGATTACCTGCTGAAGAAGTTGACAAACATACATACTTTCCCAATGTCCTCATAGTTACATTTAGCCAAACCATATTATTGCCCTGCGGATCTGTATGCACCAACATAGATGTTATGTACTGATAGAGACCATACTTATTAGTAGGGCTGTAACGAATACACTGTGTGGCGAATATGATACGTATAAGAATATTGGGTAACGAATACAAATAATTATTCATGAATACAATATTGAAGTTAAGTGATTGATGCACAATATTGAATGCCCATGTTGACAGTGTTAATTTGTCACAGCAATAACCAGTGATCTCATGACACTCAAATTTGGTATCTAATAGTTATAGCTGACAGTAACATGTGCAGCCTTGGAAAACTAACATGACTTGCGGTACTACAAGGCTAGTACATATTTCATTCTTGCATATCTCATTTTGAAAAAGGACATAAGGGTTCAAGTAAAACGGACACCTTTAAAAAAATCGTAAATATTCATGAATATTCGGTTCTGGTGGCCACGAATAACAAATTGAATTCATGAAGGGCTACGGTTCGATTCACTTAATATGCGAGTGAATCGTAACAGCCTTACTTATTAGTATTGTATCACATATTCATGATAAGCAAAATTCAAAACCATCAACATCCAAGAAAAAAAGAAAAAATAATAACAGTAAATCATGTAAATGTTGGTTAACAGTTTTTTACTAAGAAACAATGTAAAACAAATTAGCCTGATGATACAATGCTTCTACCATGTCAACAGAATAAACAGAACAACACATACAGAAACATTATATTTCAGAGGACAACACAACTTACCATTCAGTTTGATCTGTGGATAAGGGGATTTGACCAATATTGTACTTTCCATTGCTATGTGTACAAAACATAATACGATTCTTCACCTAATGTATACCATACCATTTTTGTTACAAATTATCCATCTCCTTAACTTTATTTATTAAGTTATACTTATCAAAAACTCTTGACAGGCATATGCCAGACATATACACAAAATAGCCATAGAGACCCATATAATTTGAATCAGCCTATACTTGTGAATTCATGCCAGGAAATTACATACTATCATATTTATGGGTCAGTTAACACCCATTATCTTTTGTGTTTATCAAATGATATGATTTCTGAAAATATATACATCATTTGGGTTTTTCAGCAAGAAAGTCCTGGGCCTCCAGGAAAACTAAAACATTGGGTGCATTACAAGCTACGAATTTGCTTACAATCAGCAAATTAATTGCTTTTTCAGGGCTTCCAAAAGTTGGAAGAGCTTGTAAACAATTATGCTATGATTACTGCCCTAATGAAGAATGTAACAGAATAGTAGAATTGTCTGGATGACAAGCCAGTGAATTCATGACCAATAAATTGGTGAGATTGTAAGCAGCCCAAACCTGTACATAATCAGATGTGGACAAGGCAAACAAGATGCTCACTGTATGAGTAAAAATTCACAATGACATACATACAATCCGCAAAGTCACACAATAATGCAACCAATCATCACTACTGGATACTGGGGACCTATTCTATCCTGAATCCCTTTTTAATCCCTAACCAACTGGTGTACTACTCACCAAGTCTGACGTGGTGAAGCTGAGAGTGCTCTTGCACTTGGTGATCTTGATGAAGATTCCTGGCAGTGTCTCCTGTGTGTAAGCCTCCTTCCCTCCACAGTACAGTTGGATGTAGAACCCGCGCACTGTGTTGTATGCTGTCCGTAATGGGAGGCTGTATTTCTCACCAATCTGCTTCACCATTTCTTGAACATTACAATAACAGTCTCTGCCTAGGACATCAGGGTTCATTTTCAAATACAAAACTATCTGGTACAGTTTTCATAATAGTAAACCACAAAGGTCCCATTATTTTCCCTTTTGAAGTTTTAAATAATTTCAGTACTAAGTAAAAAAACTTTATTCATTTCAAAACACCACTTTCAATGACTGAGTGTGTGGTGCTTCCAATCTTGTCAGACTTAAGACTTATATGAAGGCTTATTGTCACTTGACCAATTAGCAGTGAAAATGAACTATCAGAGGTGAGACAATCTTATTCATATACAGTGCACTCTGTCCAACTCGGACTCTCTCTTTCTCGGATTGCTGTACAAACCGGACTAAACTTACGGTCCCGATGTATTTGAAATATGTTAGGACCAACCATACATTAAATATCATCAGTAAGTATTTACCAAATAGAGGCATAAGTATAGATTACAGTCATCTGAAAATTAATTAATTCACTGTATAGAAAATGATAAGCTGGATATCTGACATTGGCACACATTATTCTTCTTGATTTTACAGTTACAAAAGCAAGGATGTTTTTATCTCATTCCTCTAGGTACATGATGTTTCATTTTATGACCAGCATTAAACCTGCCTATTAGAAAGCAACAACTGTCATTTACCTGCAATGTCATCCACAATTTCAGTGTACGTCCTTCGACCAACATCCAACAAACCTAAAGTCAACAGAAGAAGCATGATTTTTGTTATGAAACAAAATAAAGACTATTTCAAAAGAATATTCAATCATATACTTCGTAAGACAACTGTGGCACATCATATTACCATTTTCAAATAATTATATTCATTATGTAAGTGAATATATTTATTTAGGGAGAAAATCTGTTGAAAAATGACTAACATGCATTTGTCAAGTTATAATTGGTTCATACAGACCATGACTGTTTCTACTTACCATTAAGATTTGGCTAAAAGAAACAAAAGAAATTATGCCATTACTGGATATTGTAAACCAAAGTCACCATGTTCTTTAATCTGATTGGTTAAAAAACATGATCAAAAGGTATTCGATTCCCAGAAATTACAAGACTATTCGCTGCGTATTGACACGTACAAATATTGCACACACCATTGTATTGTTGATAAAAAATCATGTGTTGGCCAATTTCCGGGTGTTGTTGAGGATTTGAAGCACAGGAGTTTTTCATTTGAAACCTCCAGCTAACGCTGTTGGTTTCAAATGAATTCCCATGCTTCAAATACTCAATAACACCCGGCAATTGGTCAACACATGATGTTTATCTCTATAAGGTAAATTATCACTATGAACAAAAGAATGTTTCCTACCCTCATGGTTTCCTGTGACCAACAAGTACAAGTTATGAGTTACTGTTTTCCATGCAAATTTAGTTTTGTTCTTTTTTGCATCATTTGATAGGCTTGAATAGCTAGTGATGTGTTTCTTGCTGAAAGTTACTTATCTCCAAAGGCACTATACTACTCTGGCCTGTAAATATTTTCTTGCCTATCTTGGGGCTCTATTTCCAAAGCGTGAATATGTCATATGTTACAACTTGGTGATGAACTTATCAGATACAACCTGTGATGTTTTACATAGGATCTCTTGCTCACAATCAACATGCCTACCTTGACAGCAAAACATTTCTGTGTCCTCATGTTGAGTGTTCCTTTCTCGTACTTTGTGTCTTCATGAATCACAGTGTGGATCTTTGACATGATTGCCTCAAAACGAGGATCCTCCAGAGACTAGAGTTTCATGATAAATACATCATTTTACTCAATTCATACAACTTTGAACAAATATTGTCATTTCTTAAAATTTCTCTCTTCAGCTTTTCAGTGTTGAAATCTACAGGCCCTACTTGGTCTGAGGATGGAGACCAAAAGCCTCAAAGCAAATTGTTTTGAATCAGTTAACTGTCAAAAACTTATACATTTCAAATATAAGTTGGAACTTTCTGCATTCTTTATCTTCATTTCCCAATTAGATATGCACAGCAGCTGATAAAGGAAAAAAAGGGTTTAGGTGACTTGTTGTTCTACCCAAATTGTCAAGCAGATGAAAAATGAATAAAGTTGCCGTAATCTATCTTGACAAGTCGCTTTCTATCGATACAGTTAGAATTTATCAATCTTTAAAGCTAAAAAGTTACATAGTTTGTTTCAAACATTTTCTCATTATTACTCAGTTTATAAAAGCCATTGGATTGTAGGTACATCAAGTATCTGAAAGACAGACCAAAGACTACATTAAGGAACTACAGGTTACATCTGCTTGCATTAAGTGAGTGAGTGAGTTTAGTTTAACGCCACACTCAGCAATATTCCAGCTGTATGGCAGCGGCCTGTAAATAATCGATTCTGGACCAGACAATCCAGTAATCAACAGCATGAGCATCGATCTGCACAATTGGGAACCGATGACATGTGTCAACCAAGTCAGCGAGCATGACCACCCGATCCCGTTACTCGCCTCTTACGACAAGCATGGGTTACTGAAGATCAATATTCTAACCCGGACCTTCATGGGTAGCTTGCATTAAGACCATGATATTGGAAGAAGTAATCATGTGCAAGAGAATCTCTTATTTCTGATAATTTCTCATTCCTATTATCGGAATGAGGTTTGAATACAATTGCTAACTTGAGTAAACAAAGCAGTTTCTGAGCTAGGAACATGTTAAGTTAATGAAAACAAACAAAATCTCTGGATTAATAACTTTCCATCAACATCAGCATTGTTTACTTTTTAACCTACAAAACAGGAACAACATATTACTATTATTGCTTCCCAAAGTTACATACCTTGCAGGGGCGGTGGGGTAGCCTAGTGGTTAAAGCGTTGGCTCGTCATGCCGAAAACCCGGGTTCAATTCCCCACATGGGTACAATGTGTGAAGCCCATTTCTGGTGTCCCCGCCGTGATATTGCTGGAATACTGCTAAAAGCGGCGTAAAACTAAACTCACTCACTCACTCACATACCTTGCAGTATGCTTTAAGCAAGTCATTTTCACAGTCCTTGAGGAACTCCATGAGAGGTGACACCAGCTCCAGTGTGTGTTTCAGGTGGATGATGTTAGTGATCTTTGACTCGGCAGTTTTTAGTGTCTCCTGTTTGGGCAGCTGGACACACAGAGAGATGAGGTGATCTACATCCAAGAAGCGACTGACCACAGACTGCAGGTTCAGAAATATCTCCTCCTTTTCAGTCAGCTCTGCCACAATATCCTGTCTGGTGTGTATTGTTTCAAAATCTACAACAGCAAATTAAAGTTTTCATATCGTGAAAACCAGTTTTGAAATGGGAAAGGAGACATTACTTGGGGGTCCATATATTTCGTCTGAAAATAGAATGATCACATTTCCATATATGCTATCACCTGATGTGAAAGAATTAATTGTTTTAGCCTAATTTGAAAACAATGCTAAGACATGTTACCATGGCTGATGTGGAACACTTGAACACAAAAAAGTCAATATATCATCATCAGTTTGTATTATTATGTGATGAGAAGTGGAAAATTTCAATCAGAATTAAACAAATAGTGCCTAGCAATTGTATAAATGGAGTTACTCTACAATTTACAACTATGACAAAGCTGCACTTGTGCCCAGTGTTAATGGAACTAACACTGTAGTCAAACTAAATGCATTACTGAATCTACAACTGTACTAACTCAGTCAAGATACCAGCCATAAACCCAAGTCAAATAAATGTACCAGGTAGGTCCAATCCAGTCTTCAATAAAGGAATATCTTTTTAGAGCAAAGACAGTTATCATAATTATAAACTTCATCCACAGACCTGATTTCTTTTGTATGTTGCTGTAGTAGTACAGATGGAACATTTTAAGCCTTTAACTCCACACTGATCAATCAATGTTGTCAAGTCATGAGACAGTAATGAACCAAAGATAGATAATTGTATGTTCAAGTTGAGCGTGGACAAACTATTTAGTATCAACAGAAAATGACAGAGATGTGAACCTGATGGGGGCTGCAGTATGTTGGAGCGGAGCATCCTGGCCCCACCATGCGTCTTGGTATGATTCAGGACACCATACAGTGTATGCTCACTCTTCGGATCTCGTCTGTTCTGAAGCAACTCCAGGTTCTTTGCAGTTGATGCATCTACAGTATACATGTCATGTCATCAAACATATTTTGGACTGCAAGAAAGACCAATATCTACATGAAGCAGAGGGTAAACTCTTGAACACACCAGACAAACAACACTTTAGTTTTCAAGATCAGCAACAGACATCTCATACCATTTAAATGATGTTAATATCATTAACTAGTAAAGTGTAATTGTTCTTTGGCTTCCTAATATAAATATCTTAAGTCTTCCATGCCTCACCTATCATGGTGGTCTGTTCACTGCCCTTAAAGATCACCTTGAGTGAGGCTGGAGCATACATGATGTTCTGTATGAACTCTGTGTACTTGAGCAGCGCTGCTGTGGTTGCTAGACAGTAATACCTGTTGTGTGAAACAGGGTATTAGTAAAGATTAAACATCAATAAATCACAGCAAACTCAAGTTTAAGGTTAATTAAGCACCAACACAATTGTTTTAACAACAATAATGATGTAACTCTCAGTTTGGGAGACAGGCTTCATGATGAACACAGTTAAAAGGATTCAGCATGATCTGACACATAATTTACCAGTTTTAATTCCGATCAACAGAAACAAACCTAAAAATTCTGCAAAGCTCTCAGATATCTGTGACGGTAGACAAACTAACATGGGTGAGCAGGCTTTTGCCAGTTTGCATTCAAGGAAGGACTTTTCGACAGACAAAGGGCATTGAGACATTTATAATGTAATCAACTTTGGACAAGACACTCTAGACTGTATCATTACCAGATTTAAAGGTCTCAAGGAAATTTCAGATACAATCAGTCATCATTGTCCTAGAAAAGGGACCATTATCAAACAGGATAAAATTAAATCTCAGGAACAAATCCCTTTGTTTCCATTTTAACATATTCATTACCTAGAACCCCAAATGTTTCACCTACTTAGATGCCACTTCCATTTCTACAGTCTTCAGGTCTGGAACGACAAGGTAGCGGATCTGCTGCAGGCCTGGAAGGCGATAAACCATACTGTCACCATATAAGTCAGCATGATCATCACAAAAACATCCTCCCAGTAGTTTTAATATGCATGGTTGCAAAATCAACACCATATTAACTCATAACACACCTGAACCAGCCTCTTTCCAATAGAAACAGCTCTTAGTCTTAGAATGGAAAGGATGATAAATACAAAACCTAAATACTTAAAAGGCCTACTACCTAACTCAAATCTTAAATTGTAGGTTGTGTACAAACAAATCAGTTATAGTGTTTAAAATGTGTGTTCAGTGTTAGTTATGTCTTTGTGGATTATTGAGACAAAATGTCCCAGGTAACCCTGCTGGCCAATGCTGGTCAAAAGAGCTGAATAAAATGAGGATCAAGTAGTATGGAATGTTGAAAATGGTATCTACTTTTCAGGATTGCCCCAGTCAGGTATTAACATCCTGCCATGATATAGCTAAATTACTATAAATTACGTCTCCCCAACACAACAGGACTGGCTACAATCACAACAGTCCAGCTCTAAAGTTACCAGTCCCCAATTTTCATGGTATCATAAGCAATGACGTGTGTTTTCCTCCTGTTGCCATAATAACTTTCTTTCAAAGAATTTAAACTAGGCATGTGACAAAACAACACTAAATTCAAGTTCTGTAATTCAACAACACTGTCTTATTTAATTGGTATGAATTTTACTCATCCAGAGGATTGATACAAGTAATTCTTTTTATATCAGGAGAACCTTTGAGGAATTAGCCCCTTTGGGGGTGATGGAAGGGTATTTGCAACTCTAAACACAACACAAGTACACTACCAAAGACTATTTCAATGTACGGATAACCATGATAACATATCTGTTACATATCCAGCTGACATCTTATAGTCCATGCTGGAGAAACATTAGAAAACATTTGTAAAATGAAATGTATCTCATATGGGTGAGATGACTTACAGACCTTTTGTTTCATTGAAGTATTTTCTCTGCACAGTTGAGACTGTAGAGCTTTGAAAGTGATCACTGATGAGGGTGTACAGTTTGGTCATATTGCCAGTCTCACAGGCTGTGTTGGGCATGATAATCTGAGAAAAATGTTCAAAAACATACACAGAAACAATTAGTCATTGGTTCAAATTTCAGATTAGTCATCATGGCCATGATTATGATCCTTTGTTAGCACCATACAGATGATTGCAGATCTCACCATTACGACAGCATCTATCATCTGCAAAAATATTTGGTTTCTTCCAATGTGAAGATGAAAATTGAAAACAAACTCAGCACAATTAACATCTTAAAGGATCATTACTGACATTCATACCGCTTCAGTAAACAATTTATTTGACTGCTCTCTCCACTTTTATTCTTGAAAATCATATTAGGATAGTCATTAGGCATCAAATTCTATTGTTGGTTCATGTGATAATTGACAGAGAATATTTGTTCAGACCCATCCATGTAGTTGTTTACCTCTAATGGCTGAAGTATTTCAAGCTTGGTCATGGTCTTCACATATGTCTGTGTATCAGAGAACTGTGAAAGATTCAGAACTGGTGACTTCAGATCCAAACTTGTCATGCCAATTTCTCCACGAGCCAAACCAGGCCCCTCAACAATGGCTGAAACACCATGATATATGGGTAAGTTATAAGTCTGACTGATAATGAATCAGAAAAATATCCTCCAGGCGATGACTGTAACCTGCAAACAGGTTATGATATGAAACATTATGTACAAACATTGACTGTTTTACATCACTCCTTTACTATGAAGGGAAGAATGTGAATACTGTAAAGTTGTGAAATCAAAAGAAGTTAATTAAAAATATCTTGGAAATACAATGTAAACTACAATATAACACACATCATACAATATAACAAACTTAAAGGAACCACTATTTTTAATTTGTTAAAACCATAGTTTGTAATGCACATTTTGACTAAAATGTAAGTAACAGGACAAAAGCAACAGTTTGTTATATCTGTCAGTTATCAGCATGTTTGTTAGGAACATAGATTATAGGCCAGGAGAATTAGAGTTTGACCCTGAACAAATTGCAACAGAAATAAATCCAACTGTTTTGTACTCAGACAACCCTGACCAGGCAAACCAGTGACTGTAAGCATGAGCAGCTGAGTAAACCAAACCACAAGTGTGACCAACCAATCTATTCTAATGCTTATTACAGTACCACCATATTTTTTATATTTTTTTCACTTATTACTCACGTATTAAATGTGAATATTAGCAGAACATAACTCCAGATTCAAAGACAGATGAACAGTTAGTATTTTGTCAAGTCACCATGGGCAGCAATGCAGGCTTCAAAGCGGCTGGGCATACTACTGATCAAAGAAGTTAGAAAGTCGTGGTCCATGCTGTCCCAATATCGGACCACCTCTTCTTTCATTTCAGCAATATTTGTCAGATTTTTCTTATTGACACTTTCCTTCATAAGTTCCCAAACATTTTCTATTGGATTTATGTCAGGGCTATAGCTTGGCCAATTTAATAATGTCATATTTTGGGTCCGAAACCAGGCCTGTGAATGCTTTGAATGATGTTTTGGGTCATTGTCCTGCTGGAAAATCCAAGAATTTCCATAGAACACATGAGCAGATGGAAGTAAATGTCCCTCGAGAATATCTGTGTACCGCACACTGTTTATATTCCCTTCAAATACACAGATATGCCACCCCACACGTTAAATTTCGGACTGTACTTTGGGCGCTGATACAAAGGTTTTTCAGTTTGTTTGGTCCAGAATTTCAGTGTATTAGGAAACAGCCACACAGAACTTTCATCTGAGAAAATCACATTGTCCCAGTTAAAATTTCTATGCTGTAAGCACCAGTTCAACCTTCTCTCCTTTTGTTCAGGTTTCATGATCGGTGATGGAATTCCTCGACTTTTCTGCCAACCCATTGCATGCAGCTCAGTTCTAATTGTCTCCTTACAGACAGCCACAGTTCCTCTATCAATCATATCCAGCCTTAAGTTTTCTAAACTCCTTCGTTTGTTTTTAGAAACAAGAATACCAAGCCGTCTTCTGTCACCGACAGTCAATTTTCTGGGCCTACCTGCGCCTCCCTGGTGCTCAATGCCATATCCTTTGCAATATTTTTGAAATCACTTTAGCTGATCTGATGTCCTTGTTATAATACTCTAAAATCAACTTCCTCTTCTCTAAATCATCCATACTGAGAATCACTGAAAATGTCGTCTGCTAGCAAGTAAACAAAGGGGGATAACTCTTCACAAACTAATGAAAAAGGATTAACGGAGTTGTCTCTCTTGAATGAAACCAAGCACTTGCTAGCTGGTCAAGGTTGTTTATACTAGAAATCCAATTAAACATATTCCTAAAATTCTCAATAATTTCTGGTCACACTATACAAGCACAGCTTACCAGGGACCAATTCTTTCCACAGGGTAAATACTCTGTAATTGTTTTGTTTTTATATTAAGTTATACAGTTAAACATGAAATCAATGCAGGAATGAAATTAATGTGAAAGGATTCCCATGTCCCTTGCTCCCATTAATAAGGTGACACATTTTATATGGGCATGTTGGTGTTTTGTGTCAGGTTCACTGCATCTACTGGAAATATAATGAGGGAAACAAATAAGGGAACACCACTTCATTGCAGTGTTCCTTTATTTATTCTCAGATTTTCACTCACAGTGCAATACAAAGCATGTGAAGAAACCTGGAAAAAATAAAGGAACACTTGTATTTTCATGTATTTCCTTATTTGTTATAATAAACTAACTAATTATCTATGCAGACTTGACTTTCTTACCAAGTACTGCATCAAGTCTGGTCACTGTTTGTCTAAACAGATCAACTAAGCATTTCAAAAGGATAGCCCTATGAAATACACAATGGCTTCAGGCTAGGCGTTTGACTTTATGTGCTGGCCTGACTCTGAGGGTGTGGGTTCGAATCCCGGATTGGACCCAACCCCAAAAGAACTACAATCTGTACTTTACTAAGAAAGTGTAATCCCAAATATAACATATGTTACAGGATAGCCCTACTTGCATAAATTACATGGCACATTTTAGAACAAAGGACATCACGCACATCCATTTGGTACCAAATACATTTCATGTTTCCTGTATCACACTATTCTGTCTCCCAGACCTTAGAGAATAAATTAAATAGGAACCCAACTCAAGTCTAGAGTGATTTGGCAAGTCTAGATTGTCTCAGCTCTGAAATTAACTATGTGGTGGCAGCCATTTAGATCATATATCTAGTATCTCACCAACAATGACTGATGAGTTATGGTCAGCCGGTGTGGTTGTGGATCCTCCAGTATTGTATGGTGTTCTCCTTGACCCTGGTGTGCGAGCATTAGAGGATGGAGCTCTCGGTGTGACGAATGGTGTCCTAGAGGCTGGCGTCTTGAAAACTGAGCGGTGATGTGGGATGGCCGGAGTGGCAAAGGAAGAGGACTCTTGGGGATTCTTTGACACACTGGAACTGTACACGAAAGACCATGCAAATAAAGAAGCTCTGCAAAACATGGAATGACAGTTGTTTTCTTTAATTTTAAGAGCAGCATATGATGTTGCATCCATTCCCACATGAATTCCTGAAATTGTATTAGTGGTTATACACCATTACATAGGTCTTATACATTGTCACATTACATGTGTTAAACCATTTGGTCCCAACTATGGATACCTTTTTAAGGTTTTTCACTTCATATGAAGTGTGAAAAACAGTCGTCAGGGTTTTACATGACGTGGGATTCCTGCATATTTGACGCAACAATTTTGTTAAAGACTCTCAAAATATTATCATACGAGTCAAGTTTGACGCAAGTTTTATGAGTGACCCTCAGAATTCAGTTCAGAGTCAATAAAATCGATTTGATAGCAAACAATGATAGTTTTGGTGAGGTCTTCATTAATTTAGATATTTCTTTCAATTCATGTTAATAACTGTATGTTACAGCGAATAAATCACAAGCCTGATTATGTGTTCAGTATACTGGAGTTTCTTATGAGTGAACTGAACAGTGACAAATATACTATTTATTAACTAACATATAAATGACAATACAACACAAAACAATAAAATTTCTGCAAAACTCTTGCTTTTTTATATACACACATAAATATTACGCAAAACTTTTCATGACTCCCAAATATTGAAAATGACTCCCAACAATAAATACTGTGGGTCACCATGACTCTCTTTTTTCAAAGTCTGTGTAAAACCCTGGTCGTAGGAACAAAAAAGGAAATAAACGCTTAATTATTAAACCAAAATAATGAATAGTTTCCTTGAGTGTTGAACATGTCTTTGAGGACTACATCATGACCATTAGTATGTCCATGTTTTAGATGAAGCATAAGCTGATAAAAGAGACTTGATTACTTAAAAAGAAATTTCCTGGTCACTATACCTCCTGGATGAGGTGCTGCCAAAACAGGTTGTTGACAATGGACCTTGTTGATGACCATCACTCTTTGAGTTTCTGACACTTGAGCTTGATAGATCTGTGGTGTCCGGAGTTTCAAGAAGTCCAAAATCTGATTGGACAACACACCATGGCAACAATGTAATATTTTCAAAATGATCTACAACTCATGATGATGAATCATGATAATGATGATGATAAATCGATTATATGTCATTATATATAACTAGAAAAAAAACTACTTTAAATGCTCATTCAAGTCACTTTCTGGGTTCACAAGCTTATCCATAATAGGAAGATATATGCACTACTCATAAATAAATTGGTCAAAAAGATTCTCATTTTAAAAAATGTTATGATTATTATATTATAATTTTGAAAGGCTCTTTTTGTGATATGGCAATACTATTGTTGTCTGCCACCTTACTATCAACCTTTGTCATAAAAAAATATTGTTTGATAAATTGTTGTTCTTTCTTGTGAAGGCGACTTAACCTTTTTTCTATACATGCAAATCAGAAATGCAAGTCAATTATGATTGTATATAGATATGTATATGTCGTGTGTGTAAAGTAGGATAAACTGTCATAGCTGGTCAAACAAATTCGGTTTTAAGAATTCAATATCTCGTAAGCTCGAGTTGATTGGGCCTACTTCCGACTAACATAAGCGCAAACTTACTGTACTTTGGCTGTTTGGGCTTCGAAGCCATATCGACGAGGTTTATGACGTTTGAAAATTCGCGGTTTGCATTCTTAATAACTTATCATGAATGAGAAATATAGACTCAAATAACGTCGTTTTATGGGAGGTCGTCGGTGTCGTTGCCTCAGCTCTGCCGCTTTTCCATGTAGACGTCAGTTCGATTGGTCACTGAAATTAACATTTGCACATATATCCCTATTTGATGCACTCGATATTTTCTTGGATGATATATCCATAACAAGCAGTTGGTTACACGTCTTTCCTTTCAAATCTGCGCCGTGGAGCAGACGATTCCGAGACCGCGCACCTTGATTAGAGTAATCTCCCTTGATGCATCAAGGGCCATAACTGTGACTAACAATTAATAATCACCCTCATCTCAAAGCGAATTTCTTTTTTCGTTGTAAGTTACGTTGTGTTGAAATGGAAGGTCGTGATTAAAGCACCGAAAGGATAGGCTAGGAGCCAAAGGAGGTACCAAAATTATATAGATCCGAACATTCCTCACCCAGTCGTGTTATTCCGGGACACACGCAGTACATCCCCCTCTGGTATAGTGTGCGAAATAGCCACTAGCCCGCTAGCCCGTGGCTAGTAAAAATCCAGTCGGGCCAGTAAATCTCCACAGTCACTGGCACATATTTTAATGAAAAGAGATACCTTTAGTATAGGCCATTTAGAATTAGAATTGTCAGAGTTTGGAATAGGGCGATTTTCGTTGCATGTGAAGAGACCAGGTGCTGTAGTGTATAGTTGTACACACATAAAAAAGATCCAGAAAATATTCATTCGTGTTGCGTCAATATTTTGCAGAATTCTTTCTGCAATTCTATAGCACAGCGTGACAAAGTATAACTCTTGAAGATATTACTATTATAATATGTTTTGGTTATCATTAAATCTGTCTTTCATGCGATGTATATGTGCTTCGTTTTTATCATAACTAATAATAATTTGTAAAGCAAAATTAAGTGTATTACGGCTGGAAATTTTCCCAGTGAAATTAAATGTAAGCGAAATATTTAGGGTATACATTGATTTAGCTGAAATATGTCTGGAAAAACTAATAGATCGACAGAGAAAATGCGCAATAGGAAACGACATAAGTCAGTGTGTAAATAACCATCTCAATTAACAACTTGAATTCATGCAACACAGTTCTGTTATCTAAGTACACTGTAATGTCAAGATGCCGATCTATAGTTTTCACTCTTTTTTAAAACAATCGCATTTTACATAAGAGTCTTAATTGCGCGGGGTTACTTTTATCAAAGCACCTCAATCATTAGGCACAATCTGATTGGTTTGCCGTATTTTTACATATACCATTTATCGATAGAGGGACGAGTCTACTTGTAGTTTACGGAAAAGGGCGAATGGTATAATAGGGTTGAAAATCGCATGGTTCATGCTTTTTCACTAAAACAGAAATTACCCCGTATAAAATCTAATTATATTTAATGGGTACGAAAACAGACGATATAATCAAATTAGTTAAACACTATACTGTGTACCATTGGTGGGTCATTTATTTATATTTGTTGGGTTTTTTTCGACCTTTTTTAGTTGGAGACAGATTCTTTGCCTAATTTATGTAAAGTGAGATTGAAATCGTACTGGTATGGTTCATGCTTTTATTCGCACTAAATAGAAACTAATGTAACTAATTATATTTAAGTGGTGTGAAAACGTACAAGCCAATTGAAACCCATGTTTTGGAGCGAAACCCTACTTCCAAAACATTTAACTCAAATTACAATTTCACGGTTTTGTACATTCGTGCTTTTAGTGTTTTGCAAAGGGAGATAACTTTAAATATCTTTCAGAGTATGCTCCCTTTCAGCGATTACCGTTAGGAAAGGTACTGTCTCTTTTTAGCTTGTGTAGTTTTGGAGAATATTCAGAAATTCAAGTTGTTGCTTTCCAGAATATTTTGACAATTTACTTTAGATGTATCTTTAGAATAAAGATGTTTACCGGCGTTGCTAAGGTGACGGTTGCCAAGTTCTAGCCTGGCTCTTTCGAATCTTCGTTTACCGAAGCGTAACATTGCTATCACACCTCTGTTTTATCGAAAGTTTCTACGACATATTTGAGTTCCTTCGCTTTCTTCTTACTGCAGTAAGGTAACTGAACTACAGTTACAGTCTTTTGTTGCTCAAATCATCTCATATCTACGTTCGTTAGCATTTTAATGGTGAGAGGCCATCCTTGACAACAGACAAGATGTCCTCTTTTCTAGACTGTACATGAATCTACATTGTAACGACTAAATGTTCTTTGGGGGTAAACGTGCGTAGGCCTAGGGTACGATAAGTACAATAAGAGAAGGCAGGCTGCACGGGTTTGTGGTACACCTACAGAATACCGGATACCTACCCGCCGTATTGTTTAGTGTCATGTCACCCTAACCCTAACGCTAACCCTAACCTTACCCTAAGCCTAACCCTAAACCTTACCCTAACCCTAAGTAAATTCGCATGCTTTCAAAGATGGCGGAAGGTATCCGGTATTCTTTAGTCTTACCGGGTTTGTAGTGGTATCTCTGGACCCCAATTATCAGAAATATGATTGTAGGACCAAAACAGAATGTGCTTCATAGAATGTAGTTTGATGGTCTCTCATTATCTAGTGATAAAAGATTCATAAATTCAGTCTTGTGCAATTGATTCGTTAGTGTCAAACAATGGTGATACACAGATCTGGCTATTTTGGTAGGCCCCCTTGTTAGGCATTATTTGGTGAAAGGCTGGATTCAGATTCTAATTTGAACATCTCGGGTAAATTCACTGAATAAATCAGTAACTACACTATCATATTTGCCTGTACTATATTTTAGAGATTTCTCTTGTGAGACTTGAGTTTGGAGTTGCATACTCCAGTATAATATTGAGTTGGTGCAAGAGAAGATACACTGTGAAGGTAAGTGACATGAACTTATTTATGCGATGGTATTACACATTTCCCTCTCAAGAACATGTAGACAATAACAACACTAAAAAACTATTATGATTTCAAAAATGTCACTATTTTTTGTAAATCGTACTTAGAAATTACAAATTCCTTCTTCCCTAATACACTTCAGAACAACAAGATGTTGTGTCCCAACGAGAGTTGGGTGAGCCTGGATGACTTTCAACCTCACTGTACCTGTCTCTACCCCCACACAACTTGGACCGATGCTGTCATCCCCTCCAACACCACAAGGCCCATCAGCCCCACTAGCCCTACCCCTACATCATCCATGTTTGGTAGTAACACCCCAGAAAGCCCCATCAGCAAGTATCTAGAAAACCAGGACTCCTTCCTTTATCCAGAATGCCCCAGATTTACTTCATTCTTTGACACCCATGATGTAACGTCAACATTTCTGTCAGCCACTTCAGATATCTGGTCTGTCGGCCCAAGTGATGAGTCTCCCCCAGTCAGCACCAGCTCCAGTCTGACCTGCCTCAGCTCTACTGGTCTTTCTGACCCCTTCCCCAGCTCTTCTTCTCTTTTCCAGAATTCTGAGGAATTCTACAATGATCTTCTTCCCTCACCATCTTCCAGCACCACCAGCTTGAACTATGGTCCCACACCCAGCAGATCTCTGGAATCAGACATGTCAGGTTTGCCAGATGACATCAACCTCTTCGGCTACAGTTTACAATGACATGTGGTTCTGTAACACCAATGATCTTTTTCAGCATGGACCACTACTGACCTCAAGCTCCATGTCTCTTCCTGTCAGCCCAGTGAGCAGCTTCACCAACCTGAGTGAGTGCAATGTGTCCTGCAGTCTGACCAGCCTGTGCCAACAAGGAGTGTCACTTCCAGTCCCCAGCAGGAGACCTAGACCCCTCAACAAGATGGTGGACAGGAAGAGAAAGAGAGATGACGTAGAGGTGAAGGTTTGTAAGAGGGCCAGGCTATAAGTATGGTAGGCAGATGTACACTGTTAATGCATGTCTGAGTTGTCTATTTTAGTAACATTAATTACTAACTTTTCAATGTTTTATATTTTGTTCTGAATGGATGCGTCTTCAATTTCTTACTTTTTTTCTCCTTTCATTTACTCTATACTGTCATACTTAGTCACTGTACATTACAAGCCTTCTTCATAACTTTTTCTGTCCATAACACTTCTTGGTCCAAATCCTGTAATTTCCACTGGTTTTTGTCAGCACTTTGCTCTAGGTCCTGAAGCGTGTCTGGATTTAGCTTGTCCCAACAAATAGTTCTGCCACTGTTTCTAGCTCTAGGTTCCAATCCTGGCCTTTCTAGGCCATATTTTCACTCCCCTCGTGCTATTTGCTTTTACTGTCTCCCATGACATTGTACTGTCAAAGCGATCGTAGTGCTAAGGTGATCGTAACTCCTATACTTTATCATTGAGGTATGATAGTCGTAGCGCTAAGACTGCTTTGTGAATGGAGCCCTGGGAGACAGAGAGTTATAGCAGCAAATAGCTTTGTTGAATAGGGCCCTAGCTGACTTTCCTATGACAGCACAGCTACCATTTATGTATATACCAGGTGTTCTAGACCCCTTTGCTATCATGGTAGAGCTACTATTTATGAATATACCAGGTGTTCTAGATCCCTTTGCTATCATACTAGGGCTACTATTTATGTATATACCAGGTGTTCTAGACCCCTTTGCTATCATGGTAGGGCTACTATTTATGTATATACCAGGTGTTCTAGATCCCTTTGCTATCATACTAGGGCTACTATTTATGTATCTACCAGATGTTCTAGATCCCTTTGCTATCATGGTAGGGCTACAAGATCCCCTTTGCTATCATGGTAGGGCTACTATTTATGTATATACCAGTGGTTCTAGATCCCTTTGCTATCATGGTAGAACTACTATTTATGTATATACCAGGTGGTTCTAGATCCCTTGCTATCATACTAGGGGACCCCCATGGCTACTTCTTGTACACCAAGGTTGTCATTATTATATGCCACTAATGGAAGTTCCAAATATGTATATACCAGCAGTGTAGGTTTTTTGCTAGATGGGGAGGTGGAGCTAACATAGTGTGTATACAGTGGATAAATATCTTGAAAATTGGTAAACATAAACTGTGTCAAAGAAATGACACACATGTACATAGACACATTCCTGTTTATTGTAAAGTAAATTCTCCATCCAACACTTAAAAGATATATTTTTCAAAGCTAGCACAGGTGGTGAAGGTGTGGCTAGATGGTGGTGAGGTGGAGGCCACATTTTGGTTAGGATTTAGTTTGTATAGATAATCCATGCACAATATGTATGTAGATCAAAATGGGCTCAAATGTATAGATCACTTA